TGTAGACAGTGTGGCAGATATTCATACATTCAGACAAAAGACAGAAACTCCAGTAGCTTTATTTTCTTCTTGTTATCCAACAGGTTGAATGGAAGCAAAAATAGAGAATATAGATTGCCTTATATTTAGCATGTTTTCTTGTTAGATTTAATAAGTTTGGTTGTCAAAACAGGAGTTTCCATTAGAAATGTATCTGTTTATGTAATTTAATCATTCTCTGTTTAAATTTTCCTTCCTTTCCCTTCCCCTTCCAAAATTTTAGGCAAATTCAATTTGATTCCATTTTTATTAAGGGGTTGCTGAAACAATGTAATGACAAAGGGCAGCCATACCCACAACAGTTATGGCAAAACCTAAACAGCAGCAACAAAAAGAGCCTATATTATTATCAGGTAGTAAGCCTCATGACAACTTTACAGCTTAAAGTCTGTGGCTTTTACAACTCCAAACTGGCAAACAATTCTTCAGTGGACTTTTGTAGAGAGCACTCCAACACTAAACAATAATTCATTAGTATTCTTTTAAATTTTATACTAAGTTAGAAGTGATATTATTAGCTTAATGCATCTAGTACTTCATGAACCTTACCTAAATCCAAGCTTTAGATTATGTGTAGCCACATTTCTGAATTCTGATATGGAGGAGAGCTAAAAATAGGTTATTCTGTTTGTTCATTCTCTAGCTCTATACCAACTGCCAAAATTATTTTTAGCATCCACATCCTGGCACATTTAAGTCCTACTAGTATTTCTGATCTACACGCTTCAATAATCCTGTACATCAGCTACCAATTTTTCTTTATATTGCTGAAAGAGATGCATGATAGGTCCTTAGAAGTCACTAGATGGAAATCCTGTTCTGTTAATAAACACCATCTGCTACCTTCTTTCCTTCCCCCATCTCCCATTATCCATAAAGACATGATCTTTCTTGAAATTTTTAAAATTGTTCTCAAAACCCTCTTAAAAACATTTCAGCAGAATTGCTAAATTCCATAGCAACAGTCCAGTACAAACATGAAGACCATTTCATTATTCATACAGTGTCTAATAATTCAGTTTTACAATTCAGCTTTAAAATGATGTGCAGCAGTACAAACCAGAAAAAGTTACATTTCATACAACTATTATCAATAATTTCAATTCACCTCCAGGACATTCAGAGTTTTCACTATAAGGATAACCTATATATTAAATTCTTCTTCTCTTTACCATGACCACTAGGATAGCACAAACATGTCTATCATATTTACCTTGAATAAAGATTATCATAAATTCTAGCAGTAAATTTCTTAATGGAGTCAATGATTTTAGTAATGTCAGCTACCTGTTTAGGAGCTGTAAAATAACCCAATAAGAACAAAAGAAGCACTGTTCAAAGCAGGGTTAGGTCCACTGAAGCCTCTTGCTGTATGGGCCAAGCTGCTGTGCTGCTTTCTTTCTCAGCAGCTGTATTTCCCCTCCTGTACCCTCAATGAATAAAGCTGCTTATGTATCTTAGGACAACAGGAAATGGAAAAGTGCATCAAATTCTTCTATTTCGAAACCAAATAATCTCATCAGAAATAAAATAAAAAGGACACAGCTGCACTGTGACTTAGCCTAAATTATCAAATAGATGATTAAGTATAGCATTTCTCCTCCATACATTAATACCTACACATGTTGCACAGAGCCTGAAAGATACTAAAAAAAAAAAAAGTGCCAGAAACCTCTCCCGAAAAAATCAGGCACAGGATCAGAAACTTAGAACTTCCCCATTTCTCACCCCAACCAGCAATGCTGTGTCACTAGACAGAAATAAAATTATAAATTACTGCTGGTAATTATTGTAGCTCCAGTTTTTCCTTTTCTGTTCTCACTGTAAGTGAAGTCTATTTCTTTTGGGTAATTTGTTCCAGTTTTCTCTCATGAAATCATTTTTCTCCAAGGGTATTGTGCTAGATAGAGAGGTATATTTATCAGATGTGTTCTTTTCCAAATAATAAAGAAATTGAACATAAAGAAGTATGTGCATAATGTACCAAAAATAACTCAAATATGCCACTTGATATTGAGGAAAGAGGGTGAGGAGAAAAGGAAGGAGAGGAGACATGGATGGTGGGACACAAAGTAAAGACTAAGGCTTATGATACTGATGTTAGCAAGCTAGAGTGGGCATTTCTGTGGTCTCCTGTGCACTCAGTTTGACTAAATGCAGTTGCAATGGCTCCCATATGGTGGATCAGCATAGTCTTTCTATTAATGATATAATTTTATATCTTTTCATACACATTTTTATTCTCAGGAGATTAGAAAATGACTATGTTCCACTGTGTTATGATCAAGAAAATTCATCACATATTCATATTTCCTACAGATTCTGTCAGGTACTCTGGAGTTTCTTGTCAACTTTCAGCTCAACTGCAAATTTGTCAAGAGCATAAGAAGTTAGAGAAAGAGATGTTTGCAGGCTTTGTTTTTAGGGTGTTTTTTTAATAGTGAACAGTAATGCATCCCATATAACCATCTACCTATGTTTTCTATTTCCAAGCATTTCAAAGCAAAGTGTTTTAAATTATCTCTGATTACGAAATGTATGTTCCCTCTCTTTCAAATCATAACTGGGTCTAATCCCTTCAGAGATATGTCTCTACTGCTTACTCTATCCTCTCATTCCACCTCTATCATTTTGCTTTATTGCAATGACAGGTTGCTAATTATTTCTGTCTTAAATTTCAAATTACAAATCCATAATGAAGCATGAAATTATGTGGTCTGATATTTAGGGGTACTAAGTATGCAGATGTTTCATCAGGAAGTTAAGAAGGAGCTACTGGGCAATCAAAATTTTTGAAAATTGGATACTAGGAAGAACCAGAACTTAAAATGTTGATTGCAGGGTTATGCACATTCAGAAAGAGTACAAGATAAGAAATGGAAATTGCCCTGATGTGATTCTCATTTAAATACATCTTTTCTCTCACGTCAAGGAAGGATACATGAAATGAATGTAATGTAATGAGCTTTCATTTCTTTGCTGTCTGGGTATAAAGACAGGTAGCTTCACAGGAAGTCAGAAAAATGGGTATTTACAGAAAAATTCTCTGGCTGAATGAAGTTGCCTTGATGCAGGTCTTAAAACAGTAGATCTGACTGTGGAAGGATCATTGAATTAAAACTCTGGGATCTAGCCTAACTTCTTCAAATTCTTAATTTCACAAAATAAAACCTCCGTTTCAAAAAAGATTAATATCAAGTTCAAGGAAACAAGTTTATATTTTGTTCTAAAATTCTGATTTCTGTGATTGAAGGTAAAATTTCCCTAGACTTGACATCGATTTAGGAGCTTGAGTTCTATTACTCAGCATGTTATTTTAACCTAAAAAAGAACTATGTGAGGAGTCAGTCATATGCGCGAACTGGTCTATTCTTGATCTTCCATTTTAGATTTAATTATTTTGTCATAACTGAGATGCATACTATGTTGTCTGTTAGCATTAGTAGTGCAAAATCTTTTGGCAAACAGTTTATAAGAACAACAGCTGATACCATATATAGTGAACTCAACATGCATGAGAGATACATTTTGCATAGTTGAAAAACCATAGGAATTGCATAGATACATTTTAGTAGAACATTTTTTAATAACGTTACTGCTGAACAAAGTTACCGAATACTTGAAAAATTAATAGACTGCTGAGTACCTACAAACTAGCCAAAACCAGTTACACATAGCCTGAATTTCTATTTTGTAGATTACCTCTTGTTTTTGTGCAAGCCAGAAAAAAAAGATAGTGCGTAACCATTTCAGCTATTTTCTATAACTCAAGGGACAAGAAAAGCCTGAATATTATGTTATGTTTTTCATTTCATATCTTGATATGTAGGAGGGAATTTCTATATTAAATAGTATTCCAATGCATTGTACCTGAAGGTAGACTATATCGACGGCTGAAGACATTTTACTACAGAGTGACTCTGGGCTGTATTTCTGTGGCCACCCTCCATTGTATTACTAATTTTTGGATATTTTCCTAGCTACCAAAGTGTTACTCAGCTAGTTACTTTCTCAGAGATTAGTTTCTGTTGCAGATGGGACCAAGCAGGGAACAACAGCCTCAGAACTTCTCCAGGCAGTTTATTATAGCTACTGTCTTGATGATGGAGACACCAGAAGCAGAAAGAGCAAAGTGTCTTTACATCAAGTGTCTTAAAAAAAAAAGATGGGGAAAAAAAATGCAAAATCAAAAAAAAAAAAACAAAACAACAAAACAAAACACAAACAATAGCAAAGAAAAAGAGAAAAACAACAATTTCTTTGTATATCCTATAAACACAAGTTAGAGTTCATAGTCACAGTACCAAGAAATAGATCTAAAAAAGAGAATGCATGATATAAACAACTCTTGAAACACTACTCAAGTGAGCTTGATTACAAACAAGATCCTTCCTGCAACATACATACAATACTATGAACTTCTGGACTTCAGGAATACATATTCCAGCTCATTTACTTAATGTTTGTGTGAAAACTGCAGACAATTGTGAAAATTCCAATAGGGAAGTAGCTTTGTGTCAGTTCAGAGAACTGAGTCAGCATTTCCCCTGTGTCAACATATGAGAAGGAATCCGTCCATGAAACTTGCAGATATAAATTCCACTATCTAGAGAAATTCGAGCGTAACTAGCAATGTGTTGATGTCAGTTTGAATAAGCTTTTGTTAGAAGGACCAGATAGATTATGGTTAAGTTTTTCAGAACTTAAACAATTTGCCATTTTAAAGGTAAAGTCATAAAATATTTTGTGTCTGTATGGCACTACATATGGTAGAGTTTTAAATATTTTAGTTTCAGATGTGACTCTATGCATCTGAATGATTGCATGAAAAGCAAATATTGCAACTTGGATAAGGTTATAAATGTGTATTTGTATAATTTTTTGTGGGATGTTTTGTTTTGTTATGTATAGAGCTCAGAAAGAAAAAAAAAACACAGAATATTTTGTTAAGAATGTCTTACCTTCATAGTAAACTTTAAACCCATGAGCACTAACTGCAAAGTCACTTGTCAAGCGAAGTGAAAATACAGATTTTGTACTTGTCACAGGTGGAGGAAGATGAAATCCTGTTAACCTAAGAAACAAAAAAGCGCAACTCATGGTTAATTGCTGAAAAAAAAAATGTGTGTGACAGGTTGCTTTCAAACAATATCTAATCATCAAAAGGACAACTGGTTTAAAAGTATATAGTTTATATTACTTGAAAAAATGATTTTTATATGATAATTGAGGCATTCATGTTAAATTTGACCGTCTTTCATGGACACTGAACCAGGTAAGGTACATCATTTTGAGAAAAATATATTTAATACGATGATAGTAAGATATAGAAACTGAACTTTAAAAATGGTTCAGATTATCAGTAGATGAAAGAAATAAAACAACCAAGCAAATCACAAACCACCAGACAATTTATACTCAGAGTTATGTTCAAAATTGTATTGCAGTGCATATTTTACACAGGTCTCTGTTAAAATTTGTAGGGGCTGAACTTTTACACAGTAATATGATGAAAGAAAGGGGATCATGATTCACTTTAATGAGGGAATTTAATATTATTTAAACTATGCACTTTAGCCTCAGAGAAGAAATTTCTGATTTCAAGAGGAAATGCAAGGAACATCATCATGAAATCACACATTCATAAAGAAAGCTCTCTTGCAAGGAATTACAGTGTTGTTAGAGTTTGTGGTTTTGGTGTTGTTTGTATATTTGGTTTTGTTTTGTTCCATTAAAACCACTATGTTTGAGACACAGATGCAAGGAAAGTCTTTGTGTACTCAGTACTGCTGATATGCTCTGCTGATACTCACTTCTACACATTCTTTTCATTTGATGTACATGTGTTAACAGTTAATTTCCTCAATTCTAGGAGAATAGCCTCATCAGGGTTCATACCAGACTAACAAAGCCCATAGTATTTACCTGTCGAAATTGCCTAAAGAACAAGCTGAACAATTTAGCTGCATATACTCACCAGTGAAATCTAGACATATCTTTAGAGACCAGTTAACCATGTGTGAAAAATTGTGTAGCAGATTAGGATGACTTATTTTATTAACGATTGACATAAAATTATTTTCATGTGTTTGAAAATGATCCCTTATTGTACTTTTTACTTTGAATTTAGAATTACAGAAAAATTTAGATTGGAAGGGACCTGTAGAGCTCAAGAGTTCAACTTACTGTTCAAAGTGGGCTTAAAGTCAGTTAGTCCAGGTTGCTCAAGATTTACATTTTCCCTTTCCATTCTTATAAGAAATTCTCTGTGGTCTTTTGTTTGTTTAGGATTTGGGGGGATTGGTTTAGTTTGTTTTGTTGGGGTTTTTTTTAGGTTGGTGTTGGTTTTTTTTTTTTTTTTTTTTAAATACAACTATATAAATAGCTACATAGGTTGGTCTTGAGGACTCTCATAAAAACTGTAAACTCTAATATTTTTATTGGAATAAATGGCATATATATTTAATTTTGCTTGATAGAAGTATTACAAACATCAATGCTGTTTACTGGTGCTTTAATACATTTGCTGCTGCTTGTACTGAAATTCAGTCTCAGTCTTGTTCTGAAATTGCAAATTAACTGATGAGTTATGTCCTACCATTATCAGTATTTCTAATCTCATCAGTGTGAAGGACATAGAGTGATGAGAAGCCCAGAATTCAAAAGGTCAAGAAATTATTAGCTAAAAAAAATTGTAATTGCAATATTAACATTTATTTAATGTTTTATTTATTTTTAGATTTAAGATGCCTTTAGATGAGTTCTATGTAGTGTACCGGTAATTTACCATGAGACTTATTTGCTGTGGGGATCCTAAAAAGTTTTTTATTGTTCTTCGATGCCTATCTACCTGGTGTCCTTGATATTCTAAATTAATGGTATTCTATAGATGTTTTTTCTTAAGCAATCTTTGGAAAAAAAACAAACCAAAACATGATAACTCCACCACAATACAATAGCCAATGTATGTCATTGGTTACAGTCATGACAGGTATGAAAGCCAAATTATAATAGTACTCACATCACATAACCAGAAAATTTAAAACAATGAACAAAAGAAGCAATGGCCCCTAAAGAAGTATATATACATATTTTATATGCAGTAAGTCATCAGTGTGTGTATCTAGAAATCTACTCCTTGTTTTATCATTGGCAGTCTTATGAATAATGTCACTAAACCAAGACTAGATTAAAGAATTTATGTTAATACGAAAAGGTGCAGAATTATTTACAGAATATTTAGGATTATGGAAATGTATTTTTTATTTGATTATGAGATTTCTTTTTCTAACAGTAAAACAAAGTAATCAAATGATCATGTCGCCCAAACAGGCATATACATAATTCTTTGATAAGTCAGTATCAATGCAATTTTCCCAGCAGCTTGGTCATTAACCAAAAAATACATTAATCCATTGGTAAGTATCAACACTTCAAAACAAGTTGATCTAATGTAAACCAAAACCAATAATTTGAATAAAACTTTAACTTGCATCACACAGTAGATCTTCCTGGTATCTATTTAGCTACTCAATACTTTTAAAGACTTGTGGATATAAACACATATCCAGCAGAAAATAAATACATAGTTATCCCCAAGTATTTAATTTTATGAGTGGTACGTATGCACAGCTTAGATGGGTAGGGGATTTTTAAACTGAACACATATATTAATAACACAGCAAACATTACAGCTCCTCATGAAAAACAGACCATTATAAGAGCCATTTGATACCATTTAGCTTTCATGGGTGGGCCTTTTATAACCATCATTATGCTGCACTTAGGATCAGCTTGTTTCCTTAATTTGGTTGCTACACTTAAATTGATAGGAAGAAATGCAAAGGTTTTACTCCTGGCCTAGTAGATGCAAAATTCAACAAAATTTTTAATTAAGAAAAAAATCACATGCAAATATCACTCAGTAAAACACCAAAGCTTTTCAGAAAGGAATGTAATGTAATTCACTCAGACAGCTGAAATAATACTTGAGTAATATTCATTGGGTACAAGGCATTGACCTCAGAGCTTAAGTCCCATTTGTATGTTAAATTCTACAATGTTAGCTAGAATAGTTTCCAGTGCCCTTTAAAATGAAACATAGCAAGCACATCATAACTGCAGCACAGATATGTCAGATAAGCAGCAAAATACCAGTAAGATAATGCACGTGCATAGGCCTGATTGCCACTTCTTCAAGGCAGTCATAACTAAATGTCTGAGTACCCCATACAAGTAAAAAAAAGGTGGAACACATGCAAAAACAGAAGTCATCTCCTTAAACTGGTATCATCTGCATATCAAACATGTTTAAAATTTAAATTTCCCATCTAAGATGAGGGTTTTTTTATCTACAGCAATTTTCCATCTTACTTTCTCCTTGTATGTTTCATTCCATTTGTATCAACTTTTTTAAAATTTAAAATATCTAATGGATTTATTCAGGGGACTGTCTATTGCAGTTTTAGACACTCTGAGGTACTTAAAACGTCAGCACAGAGTTGGTAGATATGACATTAGACCAACATGAGATTCATGTATTTCTGGAAAGATGGAGGCCAGGCAGGATCCCTTAGGGATTCTAGACGTGCCTACATCTTATGTTACACTCTTCAACCATTCCTTTATAGCCTACCACTTTGGCAGAAGAAATTTATACTAGGACAGATGGACTTTCTTCTTCTATTTTTGGGTGGGATTTTCATTCACCTGGTCCTAATCTTCTTTCCCTTTTTGATTTGGGAATTGGCTCATTTAGTGTTCCCTGACCTCATAAAGAGATCCTATAAGTAATTGATACTGGCTCACGTAGCTAGAAACCATGGGAGCTAAAAGATAATGTCAACAGAAGTCTGAGAAGAAAACACAATTCCTTCTGTCTCAATTCTTTAAAAAAATAATTTTGAATTGTGACATTCTACTTGAGTATTTGATTGAGGTGATGCAGTTCAGCTACAAAGTATCATGAAACACAGAATAGAGATAAAAATTTGTAAATGAATCATGGCTAGGCTTCGCGAACGAAGATTTGGGAAGGCTCTATCCACATTTGCTGCAGGCACGCTGGTGGCTTATGAGGCCAATACGTGACAGACAAATCCGATTGCAAAAGGCACAGCAGAAAGATTCCTTAGAAGGTGTATTCTGCAATACACGGTTCTTTCTGCGTTGCCTTTTCTCCTCGAGGGTGATCCTGCGTGTGTTCTCAAAGGAGACAGCTGCGTTATAGATGGTGTGTCTCCAGGCCTCCCGATTTGAGGCCAGAGTAGACCAGTTATGGTGATCAATATGGCCAAGGCTGAGATGTTGTTTCAGGGAGTCTTTGTATCTTTTCTTCGGGGCTCTAATAACTATGTTTGCTTTGTTCTTGCTAGTGTCTTACAAGCTTGTCAGGCACCTAACACCCACAACAAATGGACACATTATGTGTGTCCAAGACTACAGACAGTTCTGGGAGTACAGGAAAAGGTTGAGAGATATTTTTATTTATTAGCTTTTCTATGGTAGAAAGATCAGATGTTCATCCTGAAAAACTTGTCTATAGAAATTCTAAAACTCCAGTATTTAAATACGGTGAAAATAAAGATGACATGCCATTTGGAGATACAACATACATTCAGAATTTAGATATTATTTGCATGTTAGATTATGATGCTTTGTAAAGTAGTCTCAGTAACGTGAATCTGGCAATGTTATTCTAATCACCTTGAAGTGTAAGAACGGAGAACAGAAATCTGGATTACCTTGGAGCCAGACAAAAGGTCATATGAGATATGTCATTAAATTACTCCAAATAGACCCAAGACTGCAGAGAAGAAAATCTCCATCATCACCATCATACATTTCGGTAAAGAATTACTCCTACAGGTTGTTTGCCATAACTACCCTGTGGTGTCACTTTATCCTCCCGAGGAAAACCAAAGTAGTTGAGGATCCAAAAGGACATCAGAAGCATGAGTATACCACCAGAGAAAGTAGATTCTTGGAAGATTCTGTACAATTTTAACTGTATTTTCAATGTTGTTTTTTTATTTTAATAATTACTTTGACCATGAGTGTTAGCAATATTGGAAG